CTAAGAACACGCAACTTAATATATTAGTTAATTATTTACGTTTTATATTTTTTCTACAGTGTTACTTATAAAATTAAATATAGGTTTATTAAATAAATGGTTCCCTAACAGTGACTATATGCAGTGCACTTAGGTTTACCATTTAGGAATTTCAAAAGTCCTCACAAAAATGCTGATATTTCGAAAAAAGTCCGGACTCTTTAATCACAAAATGGTAACATTACTCATTGTATGAATGAATATCATGTTATGGTCATGTCAAGTCATAGCCCATATATGGTTGGAAGTTAAGTCGGACCTCTATTAAAATATATTTAAAAGATTTATATGACTTGTAGTGCACTTAGGTTTACCATTTAGGAATTTCAAAAGTCCTCACAAAAATCGTGACATTTCAAAAAAATGTCCGGACTAAACTAAATTATTATAATTTAAAATTACACAGTTATTGATTGGCAATTGGCAAGTTTATTTATGTAGTATTTTTTTTTTTTTTATTTATAACAAACACCAGTTAGCCTAGCCACAAAGTAAGCACTGTAAGGCTTATGTTATGGGATACTAGGGTAACGGATAGAATACATATACAGTACATATATAAGTATACTTATATAGAAATACATATTAAACATCCATGACTGGAGAACAAATGCTCGTATTCATCACACAAACATCTGCCCCCACCGGGATTCGAACCCGGGACCTCTCGAGTCGGCGACACCATGAAACCCGGCGTACAAACCACTCGGCCTCAGCGCCACAGCGCCTGGGCGGAATGGTGATGATGGTGGATGCTAGAAGAGCCCCATTCTAGCACCCACCGCCTGACTCTTCGCTTGCGGATTGGGTCTGCAGAGGGATCCTCCTCTCGAGCCCTTTCCGCGGCCTCCTTCTGTAACATTATCTGCTCGCAGAAGGAGGCGACCGCCTCCTAGGATGTATATGTATTCTATCCGTTACCCTAGCATCCCATAACACAAGTCTTACAGTGCTTACTTTGGGGCTAGGCTAACTGGTGTGAGTGTTGGAAATATTTATTTATTATTTATTTATTTAAACATCGAGCAGTCACATGCTTATTAAATAAAAATTACAACTACATAAATGTATATTCATAATGAAAGCGTCATTCCTTTGTGTTGGTCTCTCGTTGATGTCTTTTACATACAGCAAAATTTTATAAACATTTGCTCTCTTAAATAAAACTAGTTTTTACGGGTTAATGCACGAAACTTTATTTATTTATTGACGTTTCGTAGCCTTTACAGGCTTCGTCGTCAGAATAAAACTTTTATTTAATTTGTCCAGCTACCTTCGAAAGACTTTTATTACAAACAAACAACTCGACAAATTAAATAAAAGTTTTATTCTGACGACGAAGCCTGTAAAGGCTACGAAACGTCAATAAATAAATAAAGTTTCGTGCATTAACCCGTAAAAACTAGTTTTATTTAATGAGTGATGTGCGTGAAAACTTAAGAAACAAATTTGCTCTCTTATTAATAAACTAGGAATTACTTTAGACTAGTTACCCCGCGTTAAGTTCATACAACACTTGCGCCGTGTTTCATTCAATGAACAGGGATAAAACATAGAGTAAATAATCCAAGCTTAGTATTTGTTTATTAATATAAACAAGAAGTTTTTTTTTCTTTTTAAACTCATTTATTTATTACATTTTAAGGTGCTGAATATAACGTAATTGTGATGTATAAGGGATTCGATATTTGGTAGAGTAGCCCCATCAGAATCCGAGGCCGCGTCGAGATGCAGCCAGGGAGGTCGAATGGGTGGGAAAGACAGGGAGAGTAGAGGACGGATTAATAAAAGTGAGAGGCGAAAGGAGAGGAGAGGAAAGGAAACGAAACAGAAAATTAATAAGAGGTTTAAAGGATGGGAGTAAGAGTGTAAGGGTTTAACAATCTTGCATGATATACAGCCATTGACGAAATATATTCAATACTAGCGGCCCGCCCTTGCTTCGCTTCGGTGTAGAGCTGAAGTGTAGACTACAGTTTTTGTTCTCAGGCTTGTATTATACACAATGACATTCATCTATGATTCTTCTTATACCTGCATGCAAAGTCTCAGCACGATCGGTATAAAATTTACAAAATTTCATTTTTTGTTTTAATTTGAATGACGTTGACATTCGTTACGTTATATTTTTCAATCTTTCTGAGAGATTTTCTTTATATTTTTTTCCGTAAGAACCTTGTACAGAGTATTAGAAAACTACAAAAAAAAAATCAGCCAAATCGGTCAAGCCGTTTTCATGTTATGTTGTGACAACGGAAAACGGGTTTCATTTTTATTATTACAAGCTTTTATTTAACTTGTGCTATGTATGTTTGTTACGGTCAAATTTCACAACTCAATTTTAAAGCACTTGCCCTCAACCGATTAAGCTGAAATTTGGTATGCTCGTTCAGTTCGGATGACAATGCATGATTAACAGTGTGACGTCATTCTAAATCCAATATGGCGGCATACCCAAAATGGCGGATCAATCATTTTTAATGCATTCCTACAATATGGGTATCAAATTAAAGGGCTTGCTGAGAGTAACTCGAAAAAAATGTGACGTCACTCTCAATCCAATATGGCGGACTTCTAAAATTTGAAAATCTATTTAAAAACAGATATCTTTAACTAATTTAGTTGAAATTTTCTTTTTTTCTTTTTAGCGCATTTGAATAAAAGCTTGTTTTTAAAAAGGTTTTTTTTAGTTATTAATTTTATTATATATATATAGATTAAGTGGCTGAAATACACTTAATGTCTGTGCTGCGGCCGGGGTTGTGGTGGTTACAGAAATACACATAGGAGAGGCCTCTGTTTGTGAGACACTTTAAACTTAATGGTAAAAGAGATAGAATCAAGAAGGTTGGAGTTCTTTGAAATATTCGGAATAGATATTTTTTTCTTAATGGTTTCAGCACGCACGGTTTGTGCATTGAGCCAATCATCATCAGCCTATTAATGTCCCCACTGCTGGGGCACAGGCCTTCCCTATGGATGGAATAGGGAGATAGGGCTATGACCCACCACGCGGGCCCTGTGCGGATTGGCGGGTACTAACGACTGCAGATGCAGCCGGGGCCAACGACTTAACGCGCCATCCAAAGCACGGAGGAACTCGAGAAAAAAAATTTTTGGTCACCCATCCAATGACCGACCACTGGGAAAGTTGCTTAACTTCAACGATCGCAGCCGAACGCGCTAACCACCTACTCTATCGAGTTCCTAGAGTAAAATAACATTAACCTTTTGGTGGTGTTGTTGGTGAGTAAGGGACGCTGCGAAACCAAAAATATAACTCGTGTCTTTGCCTACCCTGACTGAATCCTAAACTCCACGGGATAGGACCCTCCACCTTAGGGTACGGCCAGAGTGCACTCAGATTCAGATTCAGATTCAGAAAACAAGCGCGAGAAATAAACAGTGTAGTTAAAGCAGGGTGGCCATAGTGGCAGCAGGCAGCCTGCTTAAACTACACTGTTTATTTCTCGCGCTTGTTTTCTGAGTCTGAATCTGAATCTGAGTGCACTCTGGCCGTACCCTAAGGTGGAGGGAGGGTCAGTCAGGGTAGGCAAAGACACGAGTTATATTTTTGGTATCGCAGCGTTTATGGTGGCCGCTTGTTTTTAACATAAATTAAAAATACTTCTAATTTGAATAATAAAATATACATATTATCATAAAAGTATTCTTATATATGAATTCGAATAAGTTCTTTTTGTTAGCCAAATATCAATTCAAATCAATTTATTGCATTCATGTGGTCACATTGATAGTTACAAGTTACAAAATGCATAAATTACCTAACATGAACCCTGTCAGGGTATCGCAATATAGATAAAAATTACAAAAGAGAATTTAACAAATCTATATGAAGAACCTAATTTTTATTAAACAACTTTATTTCTCAGAGCATGCATAAGTGCCATTTGATTTCATTAATTTTATAACTTACTCAATTGATCTTATTTACAGTAGTAGTTTAATTTTGTAATTATTATTATGGAAATTCGTTTATAAAATTAATTAAATTTGTCCATAATTAAAATTAATAAATATGTCAATAAAAATAAAATAATATGTCAATAAACATGATTATAATAATCTAGGTTTGTATTTTCAATATCGCCTCATTAATATTATTTAGTTACAAAAAATTTCAAGTGTTAACTTAAAAAAAATAAAGGTTTAAACATAATCAACATTCAACATTTTCATACTTGATTCTAAGTTGGTATAAAATTGAAATCAGTAACACAGAAAAATAATGAATATTCAACTTTTGAAAACAATCGTTATAACTTCAAAACCTATTCAAAACATAAACAATTCCAAAAACATTAATAAATTATGTTGAAATATTTGCCTATTCATAATTTACGCACAAAACATTCCAGGTCACGTTGTTTCATTCATAATAGTATTTGACAATAGTGAAGAATACTAAAGAAAATATAATCATTTGTCAAAAATTTACACTTAAACTTAAAAATTTACGTGACATCAACTAAATTCAAAATTAATTTACGACGAAACATCGCGACTTTGGAAATTCAAAACCGTTTAAATAAAACTCATCTATCGCGACCTCATTTCTATGTCATTTAAAAGCCCACGTCCCAAAGCCAGCAAATATCGCACACGAATTAAGAAAAATATAAATATTTTTTTTAAAAAAAGAACACGACCGAGAATCCAACGTGCACTGTCACTTTCGGATTTCATCTCTTATGCTAATACTCGCCAAATTCTTGGCACATCCGCCACACCTAGTCACCATCTCGAAACGAAACAAATAAAAGAGAAATGCCTTAAACAAGCAGTATTAAATATCCTGCTTTAACATTTGCCCGATTCGGACAAGAGAAACCGACTTTAAAGGGCAAACGTTTAAGACGCAATTCGGAACGAGCGGATGCGCCGGCTGCTTTTTGAGTTAATGTCAAATGAAAACAAACTTTGCGCGCCAAAAGTTTTTAATTGTCAGCCTTGGGTGTTTCGGTTTAAGGTCACGTTTTGAACGGCGTCGCCTTCTAGAGAACGGCCTACTGGTTCCATACTACCATATGGGAAATAGCACCCCACTTTCTTCAGATGAGATCTGTACAACTCAGTTTCGTGTCTACGCCGCGGAGCTTTGCACGTAAAAAATGGACCATAGACTAGGGGGCGATTAAAAAAAAAACCATTGATAAATTGCCCGCCGAAAAGTGACATTTGTGTTTTTTTTTCTTAATATTTTTTTTTTATTGTTTGTTGTTGTTAAGAACTTTTTGGGTGACTGGTTGTGTTGTGTGACACTTTGAAAAAGCCACCTACGTACTTGCGTGTTTTTTTGGATATTTTCACCTGAAAACTGGGAAAATGGTAAGTCTTAAAACTAGTATTAGTTATTGATTGAATAATTTAAAGTAAATATCTTATATCAATAAAATTTACTCAATAAATACAATATTATTTTTTACGCAAAACTTTTCAAGGGCTGAGGAGCCTCTTAGTTTATCAAGACATACAACTTTTGACATTAAGAAAACATTGCACTTTAAAATGCATAAAATCCTTGCCTTTATGTTAATATTAAATGTCATCTTCACACCTCAGGGTTTTCCACAGTTTGTTTAAAATGATACGAATTTATGACAGACCTAATCGTATTTTAACACATATTTATTAGGTCAAGAATTAATTCGACTGATCGGACATAATTTATTGTATTCAATTATTTTAAAATTTCTCTCTTAGTTGGACATTTTAACACAGTACGTAATTCTATTGCAACAAATTGTAATAATGAAATAAAGTGAAAAAATTAAAGTAGCCATCATACATAATTTTTTTCGGTATTTTTTTTATACGCTCAATAGTTTAATTGCAAAATGCCTACAATGGTAAGGAAATCTTTGTATTCCCAGGATGGCATTTTGTAGGTTTTTGTTCTATGAAAAATTATATAGACGTTCATAAAATAAAATTTACAAAAATCTTAATATACATATAAATTAACTACCTGAGGAGCTCGATGGCGCAAGTGGTTAGCGCGTTCGGCTGCGGTCGTTGAAGTTAAGCAACTTTCGCAGTGGTCGGTCATTGGATGGGTGACCAAAAATTTACTATCTCGACTTCCTCCGTGCTTAGAAAGGCACGTTAAGCCGTTGGTCCCGGCTGCATCTGCATTCGAGGATTCTACGCAAGCACCTTAATATAACGTACCGCAATATAACGACTTCCTTGATTTAACAAATTCGTCGTAATCCCCTTGAATTTTCCATAAGTTTCAATGTAAAATATACCTTTACATCGCGAATTTTTTTTGCGAACAATCGCTTTATAACAAATTTACAACTATCAAAAAAGAGTAAATATCTCTAATTAACGAATTTTGTCAACCAAAAACCTCTATAAAACGTTTCCATCAAAATATGGCCCTTAATCTCATAGTACGTCATTCATGTCACGACAGGATACTATTTTTTTTAACTCTTTACAACCAACTTTAGACCAAGCTAACCTCAATATAACATACCTCAGTTTCAAGAATTATTCGATATTACGAATATTTACTTGTTCCCTTCCAATTTCCTTTTTTTCGCAATTGTTTAAAAGAAGAAAAAGTTCTTTTTAATAATCTTGTAGGCGACGCATTTCTGAGTCTGTGCTTTAATTATTAATAGGTTAGGAAAAGAAAATATAAATAATTATTTGTTAAAATCTTTTACAAATCTTTAAAATCACTGTCAACGCCATCTGTTGAGCTAGAGGAGAACTAAATTAACTTTTGTAATGAAGGTGTTTTTGAATATTTGTAGATTGATTCTTCCTTTTGTAAGTTAATGTAAAATATTTGCAAATACTATTTTCCTTTTTTTGTACTGATCGTTCTACTGCAGCTAGTTTACGGAAAAAACGATAATATGCACAACTTCAAACGGCTCAATCTCTCAATAATGTTCAATAAATTAGATCAAATTAATAACTACGACATCAGAAATATGTTTCTGTTGTAACATAATGTATTACAATTTTGATTTTGCATCTCATTTATTGTCAAAAAAAAACATCTAACCACCGTGAGTTTTTCCAAAACATAACGCAGGTTTACCTCGTATTTTGATATTGAATTGAATAGAACTACTATTGAAAAACTTTCATAAAACTAATCTACCATCATTGAACTACTGAAATATGTATATATTTTTATAATTAGTTCATTAATAATTACTAGCAAACCAGTGAACCAAATGTTCACCAAAAAAAAAAATGTATTCAATTAATTGAGAACTTCGGAGATTTTGTGTGGTTTCGTTTGAAATTCGTGATTTCTCGAAAACCGGAAGTGCTACGTTACTCAAATCCGGTTTGTAGTCTCATCAGACTATTCTTAACTTATAACTTAAACATTCTCTTTATCTATCTCTTACGGTTTGGCCACTGAAACAGCACCACAGACAGACGGAAGGACGGACGGAGATAAGAGATTTTATAAGACTCGAAACATCACCCGTAAAATGCAATATATACTAGTGCAAATTTGACTACGGCAGCGTCGCAATTTTGTGAAAGAGCTCTTAAATAGTCTGATATTCTTCCTTAACTAATCAACTTTAAATACAGCTTTTAAATTCAATAGAACTATACATTTGGTCTGTAGCCCGAATATGAGTGCCAATGGAATTCGGGTAAACGTATAAGTGTAAACGGGGTTGATTACGCCCGTATACGGGTAGATATCCTTTTATGCTACCGCGGCCCTCACGGACCGCGTCGAAATTCTTCTAGTCATTCTTAAGCTGCAAGGCAGCGCCATCAGCATAATTGGTCAGTGCATTCGCCCGGATTGCGAAGGGTGCGGGTTCAAGTCCCGTCTGCTGCCTGGACCGCGTGGAAATTTTTTCTAGTTATATTTTCTTTAGATTTAAACATCAAGCGGTTACATGCTTTAAAAATAATAAAAAAATATAACTATAATTGCTATTTCTCCTTTCAAATGTTTAATACTTGTAAAAGTATTCATTTGACATTGTGGGTTACCCATAATGCGAAGAGATGGCGCTGCCTTGCAGCTTAAGAATGACTAGAAGAATTTCGACGCGGTCCGTGAGGGCCGCGGTAGCATAATTGGTCAGTGCATTCGCCCGCATTGCGAAGGGTGCGGGTTCAAGTCCCGTCTGCTGCCTGGTCCGCGTGGAAATTTTTTCTAGTTATTTTTTCTTTAGATTCTTTAGATTTAAACATCAAGCGGTTACATGCTTTAAAAATAATAAAAAAAAAAATATAAGATATCCTTTTGTTTGCCCGACACTTTATTCCAGCCCGTATTCCAGTGTTTTTCTTTATATCCACATGGGCAAATGACTCTTCCCCACGTGATGTTAAGTAGTGATAGAGCCCAAACGCGAAATAGCTGGTACAGCAGTTATAAACTGCCACACCAACCATCCTCACCTTGCCGGCCTGCAAAAATGCTTCTTCACGCCTCTCTTAAAGGACCCCAGATTGTAGGAAGGAACACGTGCGCGGGCAAAGAATTCCACTTACGAATAGTACGACAAAGAAATGAGTCACCGAATTTCTTTGTTCGTGTAGGAATAGTGGCCACAGTAAGTCGGTGGCAACGTAGGCCAGCGCGCGTGGTCCGCTAAAGAAAAGGCGATGGGGGGATAAGGGAGAATAACTTGTTTTAAACTTTCATGGTCACTAACATTATATAGTAATATAAGTTATTTAATATAACAGTGCCGAAATATCGGAAACTCGCTAAAAACAAGGTACATGGTAACAATCCCGTAAATAACTTATAAATATTACTATAGGGAGAATAACTCCTCAGAACACTCGCCATGGCAAGTCGGTAGATAATATTGCTTCGGGTGCCCGAATTCGGGCTAACGACCGAATGTAAATGCGGCATTACGCGTACAACCACTTTCTAGAATTTAATTAAAATATTAAAACTGTTCTTGATAGCTCTTTTTAATGTTAATTATTCAGTTTTTTTGAAGCTTAAAGATTCCATAGAGCTGTACTTATATCAGAAATGCGAAGCGTGTCTGTCTGTCTGTTACCTCCTCACGCTTAAACCGCTGAACCGATTTGAATGAAATTTGGTATAGACGTAGTTTTACTCCCGGGAAAGGATATAGGATAGTTTGTATCAAAAATATACTCTTTAAGGTTTTGCGAAATGGGATGGAAGTTTGTATGGGAACATATAAATTTTTCCACGAAGACGAAGTGGCGGGATTTAGTAAGAATATAAAATAACTTTGACTTCCATAAAGAAATTCTTAGAGAAAATTTCAGCATGTAATTTTTTTTTAATTTCCAACACACACCAATTAGCTTAGCCCCAAAGTAAGCACTGTAAGGCTTGTGTTATGGGATACTAGGGTAACGGATAGAATACATATACTGATACATATATAAGTATATTTATATACAAATACATATTAAACATTCATGACTGGAGTACAAATGCTCGTATTCATCACGCAAACATCTGCCCCCACCGGGATTCGAACCCGGGACCTCTCGAGTCGGCGACACCATGAAAGCCGGCGTACAAACCACTCGGCCACGGAGGTCGTCAAAGTGTTATTAATTTAAGTGGATAATCCGCAACACCGAAGTCAGAAGTCAGAAGTCTTTATTTGCATTAAATATGGTGTACATCTTTTTTTTTTTTTTTTTTAATTTTAACATTTTACATTTAAAGTATTAGGCTAATAAAGTCTACGGGTATTTATATAAAAGTCTGAAAAAATGGACCCCTAACCCAGAAACTAGTAAAAACTGTAATTATCAGGGTTAGTGATTCCTCGGTCAACATATTACAAAAATATTTTAATTTTAGAGCAGCCCAATAGGTTTGACTACAGCTGTTGAGGTGAGTAATCAACTAACGAAACAAAACAATTTATCAAATATTGATTAAGTGTGAGCGTACAAGTGTGAGTGAAATTATATTGGTGGTGTGTTTGTGTATGTGTGTGTGTGTGTGTGTTTGACGTACGACGTACATAAGATGTTACATTTGTGTTTGATGTTATGTTACACATTCAGTATAAATAAAGTATCACATATTTTACTGTCACACAGCATGCAATACAGAAAACATATAAAATAAAACAATTCAAATAACCTCAAAAAAATCAAAATTATGTCCTTTATAAATCTACATCATATTATTAATTAAAAAAAAATCATTCAAACAATATATTACATATTCATATCAAATCCAAATGTTCATTTCTTATACTTAATAGTCAATGTTAAGTAAAGTACCAAAGATAATTACAAATTAATTATGCTTTTGTGCTAAATATTCCCCCACTGTATAAAAGCATTTGTCCTGTAGCCATTTTCGTAAC